TGAGGCTAAGAATGGCTTCAGGCAGGTTTTCCTCATTGTGGCTGAAAATTATCCACGTCTGGGGCACCCACCAGCATAATGGTGGGAATGATTTGTGGCTTACAGGTGAAGTTGAGGAGACTCCAAAACCGGAAGATTAGAAAATTAATCCTAAAGGCAGATCTCAGGCCTGCTTATCTGAGCAAACGATGCTGTGAGGACAGAAGTATCCTCCCAAGCTGATAAATTTAATTCAGATGTCAAAAGGCATATACAGCACCCAAACTGCCTGTGGCCAAAACAGGGCACTTTCACATGAACGTACAAGCTAACAGACTTGTGACAGTAACTCTTCCTGGCAGTGGATGAGACATCTAGGTAAATGCAAATACTGACTGTTTACAGACAGTAACATCCACTATAAGAGATCCTGCCACGGGGTCCACCCAACTTGACACAACTTCACCAATCCATCAGCAATAGACATCCAACGTTTTTCTAGGCTGCAAGCCCCGAAGTGCACCACTGAATCAGAACCCTGGAAAATGGCCCGGACCTCCCTCTGCACTGCTGGGAAGAACAGAGCAGCCTGTGCCGAGATAGAAGGCAGGGAAATTTGCCTCACTGATGCTGTAGGTCTCACCCAGCCCAACTTTATGTCATGTATCTGTCCTGCTTAAGTCATATCCCTTTGGATGTTTACTTCTCAGTATTAAATTAACTCTGTCTTTTGTCACCAACAATTGCACACTCCTTCTGTAATAACTACATGTTCTTTCTCTCTACTGCCCCAGTAATAGGCGGCAGGAATCACAAGCTGTAGTTTCTCTTGCATTTTTTTTTAGCAAACTTTTTTTTCTTCAGGTTATTTTTAACCTGGCTCAATTCCCAAATCAGATTCACTGCCTGGCAGCACGAGAAGTCGTACCAGTGCACTTGGGAGAAACAGGGGAGTGCTCGCTACAGATGTGAAAGAAGGTCTAGGTGTCCAGAGGGAAGGCTTGGGCTAGCACTGCTGCCCAATGAAGTGCTTCTGGAGATGCAGCCTTGGCTTCTAGTTTTTCACATGCATTCACAAAGAGGTCTAAGAAATTGTCCTAATGCACACAGGAGCCCGGGAGGCTGTTTACATCTGTAAGTTGAGAACACACTGCCAACCTTGGGAATATACGTGATTTCCTAAGATTTGTCCTTAGTGTACCTTAGACAAAGTCATGAGGTGTAGGTGGTCATATTCGCTCTCTGCCACTTGAGGTCACCCCTTCACCCTCTCCCAGAGGCAGAGGAGGAAAGCACAGATATTAACAGCATGGACAGGACAGTTCAAAGTGCCAAAAAAGGGTCCGGGACTGAAACAGCCACCAGCATCCCCTTGGCAAATCCAGAAGAGCCAGGACTTGAGCCTGTGGTGAGTGCATCTCTTCCCCCCCAGCAAAATGAAGACAGCAAACACAAGCCACTGATTCTCCAGGAACCTCGTCCTGCCCCCCTGCTACCCAGCTGATACTCTTCACAGGTCAGTGAGAACTCTCAATGCCCAGTAGACACCTTGTGGGAAGCATATGGGACCCTGCAGTTTGGCCCATCAGGCCTTACACACAGTAAGGTTGGGAGAGGATTTTTGTCTGTGTGCTTTGGTGCCATGATACAGGAACTAGCTTGACAGAAATTCAGTGATATGAGTTGCAAAGCTGTGACTGTCTCAGGAGCTAAATGAAGTGTGGCTTGCAGAGAAAAGGAACAGCATTCATTAGTGAGTAATAGGAACAAAAATGGAGAAGCTTTTCGGGACACAATCCTTTGACGCCGAAACAGAAAATTCCCACTCCAGGATAAGTGGCACTGGGAGGACTTATTCTGGGTTTAATTTCATTCTGTCAGGAGAAAAAGGTGGTTAATACCTGTAGAGCAGAAAGAGATACGCTAAGAGCCGAAGTGGCAAGTTCTGTGTGTCGGAAACAGAGGTAATTCTCACTTGAGGAATAGTGATGGTTTGTACAGAAAGTCTGGATGGAAACAGCAAAAAAACCCGTAAAATCAATATCCCCATGGTTAGACTGTGAAGGAAACAAGGTTTACTGAGAGCTGCTTTCATTAGATCTGGTGTTACCCTGTAGGTGAAAACAACAGCTTAGTTTCTGGGATCAGTTTCTCTTAACAAGGTTTTTATTTCCCCAAAGCTTGTTTACTTTCACAGGTTACTATGGGGTTTTTTTTTTTAATTTTACAGGTTACTATGCAGGTTACTCTGTAAACCAGGTCTCACAAGGAAAGACAATCCCTGAGCAATCACAGATAAAAATCCTACTCCTTAAAAATGCTCCTCCAAGAGAGCAGTAAAAAAAAATTTAAAAAAATCTGCAGCCTTTGGAAAAAAAAGCCACTATGAAAGAGTTAAAAAAAGAGAGAGGTCAGCAAGCTCATGAAGGCATCGCCTATGCAGGCAGCATCTAGCAGCAGGCATCCCTTAACCTTACCTAGCCTGAACTGCTAATGGACGTTTATCCTCTGCTGCTGCAGAGCCACCCTGCTCCCTTGTTTCTCTGCAGGGCTGACTCACTCTGCAGTGCACACTCACAGGCACGCAATCTGCCACATTACAGAGGACTATTTATGTGCCAGCTGACGCCACCTCTTTTAATCAGGCACTCCACAAGTCTGTCATTTCACGCTCTGAGGCTGCCTGTTCCCCTGTTCCAAATCAAATACAAAGTCAATCCCTGCCAGATGGGACTGCACTCTGATCTAGCTCACTGCCGTCAGTAAACGAAGGAAAGGGACCAAAAGGTCCGCAGTTCTCTTAATGCCCTGAATCACTTGAGAAATTTGCTGAGGCAATGGCATCAGTGAAGGACTTGAAATGCGAGTTTTCAGCAGGGAGTCATCAATGAGAATCTAGAGCATCGCTGTCAGAAAATGCTTGGTTGAGGCAACATGCTCAGACTGTTAATTTTACTCCCAGAATATTTGCAGGTACTTGACACAAAGCAATCCTCCACCTGTGTGTGCTAATCCCAGCTTTTGTTTTATGGTCTGTTCTCCTGACTTACATGGGTTTATGAGAGAGGCTTGATGTTCCAAGTCATGAACCAAAATGCCATCGATGGGATGTTGCCTGCATTTGGTTATGTAAGCATCCATCACCATCCTGAGCCTAGTAACTGCCTTCTGCGAGGTGTCACCGAGCTACAATGGGATCTCAAGAGTTCCTACAGAACAGTGCCTTTAAATTGCTTCCTTCTCTTAGAGATGAGAGCTACCACCAGCATTTAGTTGCTCTCAAACAGAGTTTGCTCATGCTCTTGTAAATTGGCAAAAAAGGCTGGCAGTAGGTTCCCCTTAAAGAAGGTAAAACCAGATCTTAAACACATTTGCAGCCCCAGCGAGGACCTCCTGCAACACAAGCGAAATACAGTTCCTCTCCCAGAACTGCAAGATGTACGTAGCATGATTTCCAAAGAGCCTGAATTCCTGATTCACCCCCTCCCAGCTGCAAACACTATCAGACTCTGCATGGAAGTACTGCGAAGGCACTCATTACAATCAGCGCCAAGAAAGAATTATGCTATAGTTTCCATAAATGTTTATGACCCCTGAGTAAAGTCTAATTTAGAAGTTTAGAGTCTACTACTTTTGCTGAAGAAAAGAACGATCAATACAATTCAGGTCAGGAAATTCTCCCTTACCCCATGCAATGCTTCCACAGACATCCAGGATTTTCCTTACATCAGCTTAGGCCTCTATGCAGCTCAAGCACCACCACTGTTCAGACTGCCATGAAGAAAAGCCCTTCCAAAACATGAAACCACTGGTACAGCCCACCCCAAACAGCCAACAACCTATTAAATGAATGCAAACAGATCATCTTCACAGCAAACAGAGTAAGCCAATTCATTTGTTAATTATTGATGATCAACAATTGTTAACAACTACACCTTCACAAAAATTTGTGAAAACCCATGCTAGCAGAATGATTGGCTCATAGCTGAAGCCTCCTGAACAGTTCCCAGTTTGGAGACCAGCTACCCAGAAGGTGCACAAGATGCCACCAGGCCTAGGATGGTGAATGCTGCTGCTGGGTTAGAAGCTGCAGCCAGCTTCAGCAAATTCCTCACACTGGCTGTAGCTCTTCATGGTACTTGCACCAGGCTTGTTTGCTGCACAGGTATACACAAGGTACCTGGATGAAATACACATATACCACATCTCCATTCCCAACCAGGCTGACAGATTACTCCAGATTCCTCTGCTTAATCAAAGGCATTACTAGTAATAGGTATCTGCATTATATTAACATTTTGGCTTGGACAAGGTAAAGCTTGACCTGTTCTCCAAACTATACAACTAAGATTAAGGTGATGTACTTCCCAAAGGCAATTTGGAACAAGCTCTACATTTGTAAGGGTCCAACATCCATTTCCCATATGAGCTTCAGTATTGCCTTGCAACATTCGTAAATCTTCAGGACAAGATGAGGTGGCTAAGGCATTCACTAGCTGCAAAAGCTGAACTGCTCAGCTCAAATGCTGATTTACAAGTTAAAGTTATTGAATGAACCCATTTTGTTGACGAGACTATTGTTCATATACTTTAAAGGCAACTGCTGCTAACAGTGCAGCTTTCCAACCAGCTAAGTTCCTGCAGAGCCATCACAAGGCCAAACTGCCTAAAGGCTCCTCAGCAGCTCCCATTCCTTGTCACTTGAAGCCTCCACCCTTGCTCCTCAACCTTGTCTGCTCAGGCCATGCTGCACAGCCTATTACATGGCATTACCATGTGCCAGAGCAAGGACATGCTGCTTGATCCAGGTGAGCACAGCACTGCAACAGCCTGACACAGGCAGCAGTTGGAAACAGCATCACTACTTGCCCAGGAGAGAAAGGGAATGGCTTAGCAGTGATGACAGCATCACTTCTGCATGGTGCTCAGTCACTTGAAGAACCTGCCTCCCCCTAAAGAAACCCCTCCTCTTCCTAAAGGAGCAGCAAAAGCATGAAATCAGAGGCAGAGGACTCATTACAGCAATGTAGTGAGGAAGTTTTATTTGGAAACATGGTATAAGTTTGTAACCCAACACTGGGTGCACGACTCTGATGCCGGAGCATACGCTGTTACTACTGAAACACAGGAGTGTTTCGGACAATTGCTGTAATAAAACACGAAATTCTCATACTCCAATACCAGGACACTACAGCAATCTTTAGAATCAAAGTTACATCCAAGGAATTCTCTGCACTTACAATTGACCCCACAGTGTAATCTACCTATATATAAGATTAATATATATAGCATGGGAAATTGAAAATCCTTGCTCCATAGATGTATGAACATGTCAAGTCTTTTATAAATAAACATCCAGTGAAGAGAAAAAAATTACATTTCTAGTTCATATTTATACATAAAGTACTAACAGCAATGGGTGGAAAATTGCACACAGGCCACCCCAAGCCATGCATCAGGCTTGGAGCAGCCCATCCAATTTAATATTGAAGTACACACAGGACAGACAAGTCACTAACATACATTGCGCATTTACAAGAGATCAACTACCAAATTGGGACAACTGTACACATTGGAAAGACCATTTTCATTCTGGAGCTCTTTTTTTAAATGTGGATTTGTTACATCTCTTTACATCATACTGCAGTGTTTACTTTGTGGAGAGGATAAGGGCAACAATGAGGCCATAGAGACCCAAGACTTCAGCGAAGATCAAAATCAGGATCATGCCCACAAATAACCTGGGCTGCTGTGCTGTTCCCCGTACACCTGCATCACCCACAATGCCAATGGCAAAGCCGGCAGCCAGACCACTGAGGCCCACACTCAAGCCAGCACCCAGCTGAAGAAAGCTCCTGTAGGACAGAGATGAAAAGAGTTTCAGTGGCAAGCAACAGGACATCCAGCCTTCAACTTCAGGCTAGCCTTTTTTTTTGTTTTGCACTCCCCACAGGAAATAAGAATATTTGAAGGGAACTTCTTGCCTGAAGAAAGAGCCACTATACTCCGTAAGCAAGCACAAAACGTCTCACAAAGCAGATGCTTCCTGAGACTCCTAGCTCCGGTATTAAAAACTGGGCAGCTACGCAACATTTCTAGCCGATATTCAGGTATGGCACATACACTAAGCTACTGGGCCTGCACGTTCACATGGCCACCCAGCTTGTCTGTAGTCACTTCAGTCAGCTGCAGGCTTAGCATGCTGCCAGGGCTGTACCTACTCCAGCCACATGGGATAGCACTTGCAGTAATGCCTGTCCCACAGTGCTCTGTAGCCCAATACCTGCTTTTGTCTCCCACCTTTAGAAGCCTTTACAGCTATAGCACATCCTGGTGATTATTAGGTCTCTTGCACTACAACAGTTGGACAGGAATGATCTTGTTTTCCAGGCAGGGGTCCCTGAGGAGCAGTCCCTATCAGTATCTGGCCACCTGGTACCTGCAAAGGAACATTTGTATCCGCTGTTCCTTTGATCATGACTTATTAGGCCAACCACACTGCTCACTGGCTGTAGCTTGTACAGTGACACAGATACTGCCTGTGTTAGACCTCAGAAGCATTGTTTTATTCTGAGACATCTCAAGCCAGGTCCAGCTATTCTCAATAGCCAAGAGTAGATTAAGTTTCAGACTATGGCTGGTATAGTGGCCCAACGTATAGCTTGAGGATTGATTTACCAGCACATAAAGCAGCAAGCAGTATTAATTATTCACTTGCATCTCCCAGGCAACAGGAGAACTATTTAGACAGTCTGATTAGACAGTCTTGGAAAGACCTGTGTATTCCAGGTCTAGAATTTGGCACCACAAAACAAGCTTAGCCTCCTATCCCAATACTGCCTGTACACAGTTTCTTTCAAGCCATAAACCACTGCATTATCTCTAGCTGGGGGATGTCTGATCTGTTAGCTAACAGAGCAAACTAATCAGGCAGCACTACCACTGAGGCTAAGGTAGGACAGCTGAAATCCAGACCATACTGCTAAGTTCAGGTTAGGAGCATTTAGCATTGAGAGTCCTTCCTGGGGTCTTAAGCAAAACCCACCCATTCAGCGGCATCAAAATAGTGACAGGACAAACTTAAAACAACTGACAGATGCAGCAACTTACTTGAATAGCGTGATAGAAGGTGAGAGGGCATTGGCAATGAGGACTGCCACTACAAGGCCATAGATAGCTATAATACCCGCCATGACAACAGGGATGATTGACTTCATGATGAGCTCAGGCCTCATGACAGACATGGCCGCAATACCCGTGCCACTCTTTGCTGTTCCATATGCAGCTCCCAAGGCTGGAAGAGAAGAAAAATGCATTAGACATCCCCAAATACCATCTGCTTCACTAGGCTGCAGTATTAGAACACTTGAGTCAGCACAAGGAAGAATTGTGCAAAACATGGTCACTTGACTACTTGGTTTGTCAGCCAGGAATATTCCCCTAAGGGATGAGGAAGTGACCTATCTAGAGTCCTAGACCAAAGCTAGATCAAAAGGTGCTGTTCAAACACTACTGATAACAGAATATCCTCCCTCAGCTAGCTTCACCACAGGGTATACTCCCCAGCAGATATTCATTCCCTGCTTAGGAACCAAAACCCAAGGTCCAAATTTGAACTCATTAGTTTGTGCCTTCACTGAGCCCACGCTGTGAGGATCTACTCAGCTGATCTGCACAGGAAATACAGGAAAGCATATCCTTCTACCACAGCAGGATGTAACCAAGCTGAAAGCCAGGTTTTACAGTCACTGAACTTTGAGCCACTTGGGCTGAGCTCTCAGAGGCACCCAATGTTTAACAAATCACGTTCATGAGGTTTTGTGGAAGAAGAGGCCCATCTGCCTATGCTTTGTCCTGGCATTAAACATGCCATTTCAGCTTCATCAGACATACTGAGATAGCAACAAACTCATATTGCTGCACTTCATTCCTTGGAGAAAGGAATGTGTCAATCATGTGTCAATAACCTCACCTGTGAAGGATTCAGGTCCAAACACTTGTTAATCCAGCCACTGGAACCACAAAGCAGAGGATGGCTTGCAGGTTAGAGGGCCACAACCACCTTACCCCAAGGTTCACTGATCACATGTGTAAACACTTGAGCATGCAGATACCAACATGGGAATCCAAAGCTTTGTTTTCAAAGCAGGACATGGGCTTATCTCCAACTGAGAACCACTAGAAGAGTCCCAAAGCACTACTCCAAAGGGTAACTTCTGCCTTGAACACTTTGTATTAGTCTCACAAAAGCTTCCACAAATAACTCTGAAATACTTGGAAAGATGTCTTTCCTTCCAACCTTGTGCTGGCGTACTCTACTGCCCTCACCATCACCCAAGAGATGATAGGCAGGTCAGCAGCCATCCAGGACTAAGTCCTTGAAGCAGCACTGCAAGGTAAGTATGTGCAAAGGCAGGTCAGTCTCCTTTTCAGATACCATCAGGCCGATTCCATCTCCAAAAAGCTACTGGAGAATATTAAAACCATGGGCATTTAAAATCTTTGTACTGTTCATAGACTGTCTTGAGTTTGCTCCACCCACTGAAAAACCTAACATTTCTACAAGGGAAACCTGCTTGTTCCACAAAGATCTATCGCTGCCTCTTACACCAGCATCCAAGTGTGAGATACTGTACCTTGCCCAAAAGAGTTGCTGGGAGGTGTTCAAAGGGTTTAGGATATGTGCTTTCCTATCTCTCACTCAGCATTCACATAAAGCCTATCTTTGAGCAGTCACAAACTGAGCAGCAATCCTCCTGGCTTTGCACTAAGAAACTGAAGATTAATAAAGGTACCACCACTGCACTAACACAAGACTCGCCATCAGAAGGAAGTTCAGTTTTAATTACAAAAACTTGACATGAAAGGCCTCATTATCAATTGCAAATTGGTTCTGTACTAGCAGAGCTCTTGAACCTTGACTGTCACTGAGCCAGATGTAAAGGGCTGCTCAGGGCGATTCACAACTAGAATCCAGCTTAGCAGGAAGCCTGAGCCAAGAGCAGAAGACATGTTTTACCTGCAAATGTAAGCTGAGACTGGAAACTAGCACACAGACTTAACTAGCAGCATCAGTGATGATACTGTTTAAGGGTCTAGCCCCTAGGAAGTCTAAAAAGAAACCACTAACTTGAATTAGGGACATTTCCTGTTGTATGAAGCATCTAAGGACTGGAAGTAAATGGAATCAAGATTCAGGCTATCTAGACTTCTAGACTGGCTATAGCATTTAGCAGAAACCATTTCTCTTGTCTGTAATCTTTTATAAACCTCTCCAGAAACAGAGGCTCATGAGGGAAGTTCAGTCATTACTTCCCCAAGTCTGAAATTACTTGAAGTGTTGCAATTAATGCAGTGGTGGATTACAGAAGCTGATTTTGTAAGCCCACTTACAGAAAGCCAGCCTGCTTAAGCTTTTGGGGAGGGGCAGATCAGCACCAGTTTGTCAGTTCCCAGCTGTTAAATCACATTTCTAGGGAATAGGCAAGAGCTTATTCCTTGAACTTGGTCCAGACACATCAACAAATAAAGTCTACATGTACTCTGTGGCAGCTAGTTGTAACATTATATTTTTAGATGGCACTGAAGCTCTATTACAATCCCACTGGTGGACAGTCACAAGCACTACACATACAGCTTCAGAGCTTGGCACATCTGCTCCCAATGAAGTCTTTATGAGCATCCTGACCAACAGGCGTACACCTGGAGACCCCCACCACAGCTGCATCTCCAGTATCTTAAAAGGCAGCTTGTCTTACTGCTTTTCACTAGCCTGAGAAGTTCTCCTTGCACTTGTTAATGCAAATATTACAAAACATACAAAATATTATAAACCAATATTACAGTCCAGGTGGCAAAGATGATACCCAATTCCCACCATGACACAGCCATCTAATGGCACAGCTATTCAGTTATGGGCTATTTGGCACTTCATTCAATCTTCCTGCACATCTTGACTTGTACATCTTGGAAGCTGTGAATATTTGAAGCACTTATGCTTCATATGCTACATTTAAATACTACTGATGAGCTGGAAGGACATGTTTTCTAAAATCTTCTCAGTGAATAGGGTTCAAAGACATCTATGTGGAGGACAGTGAAAATGGAACAAGAGCTGTACCACTGTTCTACACCAAGACTCCATGTATTTGCTTCAGATCATACAGTTCCATCACCCCTAATGTACATACCAATTAAGCTGCAACACTACCTTTAAAGCATACAAACACACAGCTATCAAAACATTTACCTGGCAGCTGGAGAAGCACTTTGCCTACCTAGCTTTATCACAGAAGGAAGGCATTCTGGTCTATAACCAGGAACTGTGCCACTTAAGTTCAATGGTGTTATAATATAGAGAAGTCATTTTACACATCATTCAAGACCACCTACTCCCAGTAAGCCCGTTTCAAAGGTTAACTTGATTTTGAAATACTTCTGAAGAGCAACTCCTTGAACTCACAAGCCAGAGTTGATTTAGTACGGCTCCTGGGGGCAAAACACACTCCCACAGGGCTCTGTACATGCTGCCCAGCACCTCACCATAGCTTTTACTTTCTATTAGTCAAAAATGGTAGCAGAGGTAGTGTAGGCGTGCAGCCCTGAGATCAGGTATGAACTGGAAAATAACTTGCCATATAAGCTACAGCTTCATTAAGGACAGAAGACGAGTTGTAGTCTTGACACTGCCAGGACTTTCAATAGAGCTTTGCTGCCAATATTGTCAGTACTTGCGCAGCTTGCTGTTTAGATCAAGCGCTAGTCCAAGTATAGGACCAATCTTTTGCAGCTATAGTTACAGTGCTCAGTAAGGTCATGCACCAAGAATGTTAACCTTGTAGCTACCTTAGCTGCAAGTCACCTCATGCAACATTCCCTCAATACAGAAAGAGGCTATTACCAAAAGCCTTGCATCAGTTCTGCAAAGCTCTGCAGACAGATATGCACCTGTGGACAATGACATTATCAGGGGCCTTCAAGCCAGGAAGCCATTTGCATAGATGCAGTTTCAGCAGTTGCAATATATTCAGACATGCTCAGCCCAAGAACACAGCTGTTCAGAACGAGCCACACTATCCAGCAGCATTTGGTCCATCCAGAGCCAGTGATTCCTCCTGTGTCCCACCAAGGAGAAGCAGGTTTTCACACTGCAATGCATGGAAGATTTCCAGCACACTAATAGGCAGAATTTCACTGAATTAGGAAGTGAGCTAGAAACACAAGGGAAACTTGCAATTAAGATACCATGGGTTACTATCATAGCAAGTCTGAAAGACTATTCTAGATGAGTACTTATATCCAGAGCCCTTTATAATTAATCTATTATCAAATGGCTGCCCTCTGAAGTAGGTAAGCTTCCTTGAACCAGACAGCAGGCATCAATTCACCTCAATGCCTGTTGATCCTTGAGCAGGTTCTTAAATGGCTGGAGAACTGTTACAGGTGATATCCAGGTCAAGTACAGTCCTTGCTTTGCCATGCCAGAAACCTGGGCATTTTCAAAGAAACAGGCTTCTTCCTACTGGTATTCTAAGGCCCTCCCACACCACCACATTTAACCCAAACACAGCTCTACCTCAGATTACAGTAATGGACACTCCACAGCTGCCTTGGAAAAAACCTGCTGCTATGTCCAGTTGTATCTCCACAGAAGAAACAGCCACGATAGTGGAACTGTATCTGGAACACAGGCAAATTCAGATCATGCTGACTGCAGACTGGCTATAGCCAGTCCCCCAGTGATAACTAGAGGGCTAAACAGGTAAGCTGCCCTACAGGAAGTTGGAAACTTTGAAAATCTTTAGTGAGTCACCTGTTACAGGATTAGGGACAGCATGCTTTTTGTTCTTCCCCAATGTTATGAGAGAGTGTGGGGACTTCAAACAAGCCTCCCACTGTCAGCTTACAGCATTATCAAAAACAACCTGCAAGGCTAGCAGGCCATTTACTCTTGTTCAATAAGTCTACCAGCTCCTTGAGAAAGTTGCTGCAATAGCAGCAGTCCAAAGAAAAAAAAAAAAAGGAGTGACCAGTCAACTGTCCAAGCAGCTGGGACTGCTGCAGATGGTACTCTGGATTGTCTGACAAAACACAAAGCCAATTTTGTTTTTTAAAGTACAGTAAGGCTGACACTTTACACCACAGAGTACAGGCTTGCTCTTCTGCAAGCAAAGTCTGGTCACTTGTTATTTACCTTTCTTCATCATCATACAAGCTCCCCTGCAACCTTAAAGATGACCCATTTCACAGACTGGGTGGACCACTGTATTCCAGGTGGTGAGTGGCAGAGTGGTTTGTTATACCAGTTAGCAGGAGCCCTTTTCATCTAGTTGGTCTAACAGCAGCTTCCACCACTCATCAGCAGGCATCCACAGCTAAGCTGCCTCATTTCTAAAGCGTGGGAAAGCCAAGGTCATCTGACTGCATCCAGCAGACACTCTGGTGGCCAGACTAGCCTGACTTGAAGCCTCATGCTCACAAGATTCACAGTATGAAGGAAGCGAGTTCAGCAAGTCATGCCTTACTGTTTGGCGAGGACAACAACCAGGTAGAAGCATGCACTTCTGTGAAACCATTGTTTCAAGCATCACCAAACAGCCTGATCAGGCTGGGGAATTTTCCAGCTTGCAATCGCTGCTTGAAATCAGTCAGACTCTGGAAAAATGGAGGAGGCTGATTTTAGGAAAAGAAAAAAGGAAGTTGAATAAGAGGTCCTGAGGCAGTTGGCATTCATCTCCACTCCTCCTCTGAACATTCCCATCAGAGGGGAAGTACCTGCGGACTTTGTAGTCTACACTGACTTCAGGGTGAGACACAAGTCCCATCGGGTACACCTGGAAGTCACAGTACATGCAGCAGCATATCTGCTTGAGCCAAGTTTTGTAGAGCCAATGGTTTATCCTGAGGCTCAATCTGGTTTTCAGATGATCCTAAGACTAGCATCTACTGAGTGGAAATGATGCCCTTGTTGAGATGTCTTCCCTTAACTAAGCTGTAGAAACACTGCCTATCTGGTTTACTTCTGTTACAACACTTAGGTCTTAATAGTCCACTGATCCACCTGCTGTTAAGGATGAATGCTTAAGCTAGTCTCTCTACTGTAGACAGTATGGTAGCTCAAACATCTGACCCACTGAGTTTTCCTGCCATCCTCCACAATGCCTTTGAGGTACTCTACAATGATTTGGAACAGAAGACTGCCTTGAGCTGCATTCCATTGCACCATTTCTTTTTACCTGCAAGCTACAGCTAAGGAGTCTGCAAGCTCCTCCTAGGATGAGGTCTACAGCTCCATACTAAGAAGCAAGCAGCTCTCTTCTACCACCTCCCCACCTCTCAAGAGACAGTATTTCAGGAAGCACAGATGTAATTTGCCTTCAAGGCTGCAAGTTTTTTTTAGTCATGATGCCTCCTAGAATCAGACTGCACAGGGCTGTCAGCTGCATCACACTAGATGTTCTGAGCCAGCAATTTTACCATGGAGGTCCCTTAATAGCTAACCAACTGCTACAATATCTGCATCCCTAGTTTAAAGTAAAAAGCACCATTTTGTTAGCTCTGCAGCAACAATGAGAAGACAGACACAGGACTAACCTTAACACTGCTGGCTAGAGTCCTCTTCATTAGCAGTCTTCCAGATGCTTGATAGTTGAAGCAGAATCGAAGGCAATGAATGCCTGTCCAGAGTGCAGGTCTAAGTAAAAGTCCTTACCGCATTATGGAGGCCACAGTGGGGTGCGCCTGGGACATCACGCTTTTCTACATGGAGCATCAGCAAGTGCAGAAACAGACAGCTTTGCCTAATACCATGCTTTTCTGCATGGAAAAGCTGTAATAATTTGCTCACTCAACAGCACCTGACACTGAGCCAACCACGTATTTTACACATAGGAAATAAAGGAACTTTAGCTATCAGAACACGTTGTAATCAGCAAATGAATAAGCAGGCTCCAAGATAGTCAAGGTCACAGCAGCCTGCTTTAGTCTTTCTAGCTGCCATCAGTACTAGCTGACCAGAACAAGTTCTCCTATCTATTTACCATCAGCAGTTAATGTTCAAACACCACACAGTACTGCGTAAAGTCGCTTGTTTTCACATCAGACTAGCCTGGACAGTATAGAACTTGAACCTGTTTACTAGAAACAGGTCTCAACTATAAGCTCTACAAGAATCTGATCTTACGATACAGCATGAGTCAGCCATGATCACTGCACTAATTAACACTGACCTAGGACAATTTTTGATAGTTTTATACTGCTTGTCCAGACAGACTTAGCTCCTTACTTCTAAATCAGGGTGTGTTTAACAACTAACACCAGAACATGCTGTAGTGTCACATCGCTAGTGGGAAAGCTACATGACACTGCAAGTTTTAGTTCATCCTATATTGACACCTCTGCCACATTGCCTTAAAAATCCAAGTTGCTTCACTAAAGAAGCAGTTCAGTTATGTTCACAACTACAAAATAATTCTGCATCAGCAGTATCTACAACCTGTTGTTCCAGTGACTGAAACCATCAAATGCACTTAGGCCCTAGCAAGACACTAACTTCATGGCTCAGACGTACTAGTATTAGGACCATCTGACACAGATTCTACATCAGGGACCAGTCAAGTACCAGCAGCAGCATGACAGTTGCCAAATCTTCATCAATATAGCTTAAGCACTGTGAATTACCTAACTCAAACCTTCCCCTTTCACTTGCAATCCCACAGTACCATGCTATGAAACCTGTAGCTTCTAGGAAATGCTTCACTTCTAGTTTAGACATACCAAGCAACACTGAATTCCTATTAAAATGCAGACTCCAGCTGGCATCCCTTTCTGATGTTTGACTGAAGCAAGCTTGCATATCACAAAATCAGTGTCTAAAAGGCCATACAACCATGTTCTTTTGCTTCCAAGTTGAATTGTGCAAGAGGAATCCAGTGACTCCTTCCTTAGGATGAAAGCTCAGAACTTAGGACCTTAATCACTGCTATTTTGCAAGAGGCAGTGATCTGCTGACTGTTTTTTCCAAAAAGTAACTAGATCTTAAGTCTATTCCTCCATTATTTTCATCAGCCAAGAGGCAGGTACATCAGTAGTCCCAATGCTGGCTGCTATAGCATTCCAGCCATATTGTTTTCAGGAAAGTCCTTACCTGTCAAGTGTGAGTACAAGGTTTTAACTCTGAGGTGGCAGGTCAGTAATTGCCCTCAGCACAGGACATCTGCATGCCACCACTGGGTACAAACTGAGCAAGACTAAACACAGCCAGTCACACTTTTTTATTTTGCGAAGATTAAAGCCATGAACAAGGCTGGTATGAAACCAGTCAAGGATGCCACCACCAGCATGGCTAGACAACTTCCTCTCAACCACTAGTTTTAATCCACTGTCTACTTAGTTACTTACACGGTTTAAGCTACCACACTCATCAAGAGCAGCTTCCACAAATTTGCCTTGCAAACTTAGCTACTATCTCAGAGGCTACTCTAGTATAATAAAACTCCAAGCGCATGAACAGTTATAAGCAACTCAAGCTACAGCCGATGCAACGCTTAAGTGTTTTGATTCCTCAACTGGGAGCCAAATTAGGTGGCAGATGAAGACAAACCTGCATGGTCATACATGTGGAGACACTGGCTAAGTCTCCAGAAGAGAAAACCAGACCGATTCCTAGCTCTTGTATTCCTAGTTACTGTAACACCAGAGTTTGGTAAAAATAGCTGAAGCCTTCCCCATGTTACACCCCAAACAGAACAGCAGATCAGCACCCATCAGGAAACAGTGAAGGCTCAGTCACCAGCAGCAGTCATTTTCGGTAGAAGGTTTACTCACAATCCAAGAGAAACCAGACATCATATGATGGTCTTTCTGATGTAAAACAGCATTTATGGGTCTCTGCATAAATGTTCTTCAATGGGGAGAGCAATACTGCAGAATGACCCAATTTACTCCGTTCTGAAACTCAATGACTTAAGATGCAGATGGATGGCCACTAGAGAATAGCTTCCCTTTTTCAGTATTTCATGCATCTCTCATTTTAAGGGGAAGGTCAGGAGCCTATCAGCTCCTTTTAATGTCATTAACATTTTCAAAGCTGACTTCACTCTTAAAATACTTGCATATTTAGGTTTCAATCCTATTAAAAACTGGTCCTGCATTATCCGAGGAGTGTCTTAAAAATATGCTGTGTCCTACGTACAGCGGGGGAAGTGCTGCACCCAGCCCCAGGAGAGCCAGACCAGCCCTCCCCGCCGCGGGGGCCCGCAGCAGCTGACGCCCGGGGCAGACCC